CCCCCGCCCACTGAAAACTGAAACTGCAAAAACCCACACAGGCTGAAGCCCAGCCTCTCAGCTTGGAGGTGGAGAAACTGAGGCAAAGAGGCAGAGTCTTCCAGACAGCTAGGTTTGAACCCAAGCATCCAGACCCCAGGTCCCGAGCTCGTTCCTCAGCTGGGGCACCCCTACCACTGCCCGCTGACCCCCTCTCCCCGCCCCCAGGACCTGCAGGGCTCCGTGCAGCGCATCTGTGAGTTCCTGGGCCGGCCGCTGGACGAGGAGGCACTGGGCTCCGTGGTGGCACACTCGACCTTCAGCGCCATGAAGGCCAACAACATGTCCAACTACACGCTACTGCCCCCCAGCCTGCTGGACCACCGCCACGGGGCCTTCCTCCGGAAAGGTGCGTGCCTCTGGGGGTTGTGTGACCCGGGTGAGTTCCTTAACTCCTCTGGACCTCGGTTTCTCTAGCCAGAACGTGGGGGTGAACGGGGTCACTGTGGACCCAGAGTCAACTCCAGGCATAGGGCCCTGCCCTCCTGTCCAGAGAGCAATACTCGCCCACAAACGCTGCCAATGCCAGGCGCCAGGCGCCAAGGGGCTAGTCAGAGTCTTCATGAATCCTCCTTCACGGTCACGGTCACAGTCACTGCAGAAATACTCAAGCTGGACCGTCAGGCAGGGGTGGCGTGTTTTATTTCCTATTCTTGCTGTAACAAAACACAAAGCCCAGCAGGGTGGCTCACGCCTGTCATCCTAGCACTTTGGGAGGCAGAGGTGAGAGGACTGCCTGAGCCCAGGGGTTCAAGATCTGCCTGGGCAACTTGGCGAGACCTCATCTCTACAATGAATTTTAAAAAAGAATTAGCCGGGCATGGTGGCACACACCTGTGGTTCCAGCTACTTGGAAGACTGAGGCGGAAGGATCGCCTGAGCCCAGCAGGTCAGGGCTGCGGTGGCCGTGAGCATGCTCCCTGCACTCCAGCCTGGGCAACAGAGTGAAACCTCGGGGGGAAAAATGCCACAAACGTCGTGGCTCAAAACAACATACACTCTCTTACATTTCTGGAGGTCAGGAGTTGGAAATGAGCCTCATGGGCTGACATCAAAGTGTCAGAAGGGGTGTGTTTCTGCTGGAGGTTCTGGGGAGAATCTCATGTCTGCCTTTTTTTTTTCTTTTTTTTTAGTCGGAATCTCACTCTGTAGCCCAGGCTGCAGTGCAGTAGTGCAATCACAGCTCACCACATCCCGATTATTTTTTAAGTTTTGTGCAGATGAGGTCTCACTGTATTGCCTAGGATGGTCTCGAACTCCTAGGCTCAAGCGATCCTCCCTCCTCAATCTCCCCAAGTGCTGGGATTGCAGGCTTGAGCCACCACGCCTGGTCTCGTTTTCATTTTTGACCCCCCTGCACTCGCTGGCTCATGGCCTCTTTCTCCATCTGCGGAGTCAGCTGTGAAGTGTCTTTGTTTAATAATAATAATTAATAATTGGTAATAGTCTGTAATACCAGCACTTTGGGAGGCCAAGGTGAGTGGATTGCCTGAGCCCACGGGTTTGAGTCCCGCCCAGGCAACTTGGTAAGACCTCGTCTCTACAATAAATCAAAAATTAACTGGGCATGTTAGCGTATGCCTGTAGTTCTGGCTACTTGGAAGGCTGAGGCGGAAGGATTGCCGGAGCCCAGCAGGCCAACACTGGACTGGCTGTGAGTGTGCCACGGCACTCCAGCCTGAGCAACAGAGTGAGACTCCAACTCGAAAAAAAAATCGCAGCCGGGCTTGGTGGCTCAGCCTGTAATCCTGCACCTTGGGAGGCTGAGGTGAGTGAAT